TGTGCTATATATCACAACATCACTGATGCGTTACCTGTAGCCAGTGTGTGTCTTCCTGTCACATATGCCAAGTAATTTTCGATCAAGTCGAGGAGATTTGTGTCAATGCCGCAGCTGGTTGTGGCGGCATCTGTCCACTCGCCACCAGGCAGCTCCAACCTCGCGTGTAAGTTGTCTTGAGTTCTCTAACAACCACACCACCAATGCAATTTCGTATTGCATTGGGCACTTACAATTTTCTCAGCTACAAACCTTGATGCCTACAATCTAATCCAACTTACCACCTAGAACTTAATCCTCTCAATCCTCTGCAACCTCTGCCATCTCCCTCCAATATCGTTCCTCTTCCTTTCTTCTCCCACCAACGTCGTTTCCTCCTTCTTCAGCAACTCACAACAATGCCTCGTCGCATATTCAAAAACCTCGTCATCGCCACGGCAGGCCCTCTGCCTGGCCAACTCACCGTCGACAACCTTCGCCAATGGACCTCCATCCGCAAAGGCACCTTCACGGAGGAATTCGACGAGCAAGTCACGCATCTCCTATGTACTCGAGAGCAATTCGACCGCAAACTCCCAAGAAGTAACCTTTCTCTCTTCATATATTCTCCTCGCTCCTACTTTAAGCATATCGCTTACTCTGTGTATACATATAGTCAAAGCGGCCCTTGCCGGCGGAAAGCGACAACACATCGTCCACTGCGACTGGTTCGAAATCTCCGCCGTCAATGAGAAGAAAGAGCCAGAAAGGGAATATTCCATGAGGAATATCATCGCCAAGCAAAATGCGGAGAAACGAGAACGAGCTCGGATTGAAAAGGGGAAGAGAGAGGGCGAGAGAGCCGTGAACACGAGTAAAACCCATACCTCTATGCGGTACAAGATGCCAAATGCTTCAACTGACGATTGTATGGCTAGATCTTTTCCACATTTACAGTGATCGAACTTTCTTCTCGTATCAGGTCGATATTACACGCGACGACGTTGAAACGGGAGAGCTGGGACAGCGCTACACCCTCTACGTAAGACACCACCAGAAAAGCAAAAGATTATTTATCTGATTGCTCTCTAACACAAAACATATCACAGCTCTGGGAATCTAACGCAAAGCCCCATCTCTACTGGTTCACCGCAAAGTTCATGAAGAAGAAGGGAGATAGCCAGCCCAGCTTCCACCGGCCAAGCCCCTGCTCCGGCCCCTGGCGTCAAGAAATGGACCTCTTCATGGAGTTTTTCCGCATCAAGACGGGTATCGAATGGCAGGATCGTGTGATTGGACAGAATACCATGTCGAATTCGTTCTTTCAGTACGCACCGCCGGTAAGTTATATCCCTCCCGAGATTTCGATTACACATCTCTTGAAGAACGGTGCTCAGTTGTGTGGCGGAGGCTAACGTACTGAGTGTAGACAGGTGGAAAGCCCGTTGGTCGTCGCCTTCGATTCTGCTACGAGTATTGTCTGGAAATCAACGCCCAGGTGAGGGGATTGCCTTGGCCCCCGGTAGAAGACATTCAGGTCAAAGAAGACGCTGTTGTAACTGAACCTCAAGATATCATCATCGATGTTGAGGATCATGAAAGTTCCACCCTCAATGAAAAGGCTATCGAAGATTCTGGAACGTGTTCAGAAGTTAGTGTCGATGTCGATGATACAGAAAAGGATATCCTAGAGAATGAAGGCGAAGCAGACGAACAAGAAGCGCTACTGGAGTCTGATAATCCTGCAACAATGGATCCGGATGTATCAATGACAAATTCTGAGTGACTCTTCAATGAAGTCGGATAGTCAGAGTCTCGGGTTAGGTATGCAAGAAACTACGAGCTAATGTCAAATGTCACATAAGTGAAATGCTCAGCCATCTCATTCTTATATATATATATATATATCCATTTTCTGACGGCCACAGGCATGAGGCACAAGCTCTTGAACAAGAAAATTTACATGAAAAGCTAATTTAGCCGTTTAATATTACATCGAAATCAAGAAATGTCAGCGCTTTCGTCTATGCTGTACAGGTATCGTAACAACCAAACCCATCGTAATGCATCATTGCATGTCAGCAACCCCAGCCCTCTCAAAACCTCAGTTTTGGAAACACAAACACCAACAGTATCAGCGACACCATCATACCATATATCCACGCATACAGCATCATCCTCCCCCACCAACCCTTCCCCTCGGTCATTCTCTTGAGAGATCCCATCCGCCCCTGGGCCGCTTCCATACCGCGCCCCGATTTCTCCATGCTGGACCCAGCGGCGTCAAGTAAATTCTTGTCTTCTTCGAGGGTTGCCGAGAAACTCTTGGAGCTCTCCTTTAGAGCACTCGCCATCATGAGAATAGAGTTTGAGATGGCATCTTGCTCAAGTCGCTGCTGGTCCAGTATGGCTTCTGCTGTAGCTGTCGTTGTTTGAGGACTTGCGGGCGTGGGGTGGTTGGCGAACAGGGCAGCACGAGCTGTGCTGTGAGCTGAGGGGGTCGGAGATGGTGCAGAGGGGCGGGCGCGTAATGTTTGGGTCGTTTGTGTAGGGAGGGTTTCGCTGGCAGTCTCGGTGGGTGCAAGAGTAGTCGTCGCAGAGGGCTCAGGTATATGTTCAGCTCGTGTCGGTGGTGAGGGGGGCGAGGGGGGTTCTGCATCGGGTATTTCGTTTTCAAAGTAACCTTCTCCTGCCGGCGCATTCGATGACCGTCTGGAGTCCTGGCTCTCGCTCGGCGTTTGTATGATGTCTCCCAGGAGGTCTTCGCCTTCGGATGAGTCGTCTTCGTCCAGGGCCACCTAACCTACATTAGCTTTATTCTATATCTTGCTGAGATGATCATTGGTCTACCTTTCTTAGGTCGTCTAGCCGATCAAACAGTAGATCCAGCGTTTCCTTTTGCGCTGTGAGATCGCCCTGCGTATCCGTCCTCCGTCCCGGGAGCGTCTGCTCCAGCTTCGTAAGCGCCGCTCGCGCATATTGAAGGTTCTATACCAAGTCGTTAGCGACACTACGCAGCAGCCATGCCTTGTTCCAGTCTCACAGCCTCGACCCTTGTCCTCTCAAACTCGCTGTTGCGCAGCCTTCGTTCGCGTTCGGGGCTCGGATGCAGCACAGACTGCTTTAGCCGGGAGAGCAGCTGCGCAAGCTCTACCGGGGATAGATTCGGCGATTCTCCAGCAGGTAAGTTGGGAAGTATCGCCATGATCGCGGTGAGAATAGACTGCAGTGACTGATGGATGGTTTTGCGACGGGAAGATGCTCTGTTACATGTAGAATTACGTCGCTGGCATGGTATATGTGGCTGAAGCTTCACAGTGCGCCACAGTTGACCAGTTTAGGCAGTTTGTCGCCATTGAGGGTCACTTACAAGGTGGGAAAGCTGACATTTCACAAGACGAACTTGACAGCTCCAAAAAAGTGTAAGAATTCTGTCAAAGGTGCACAAAGACGCCGGTTTCCTAGTTCTTCTGATTCGTCAACATAACGAAGACATGGAGAAGTCTTGTGCTGTGACCTCTGGTTCGATTGCCACCACACTCGCATAAGAGAGGAGATATAGCACGAAGTCGCCCTTCTAGTTGAACATGTTCTAGTCTCTGGAACAAGACTAGGATATTTGTATTGTCTTGGCTCGAAGTCCGAGAGGGTGCTTATAACGTCTCAATTAAGTAAAGGTCCTCAAGAGAAACCTAGCAGTGACTTCTTTGATATGCTTCACCAGTCCTTCTTTGGCATCACGACGCTTCTCAGCCCAAATTATCAAGCTGCTTCAAATATTGGTCTCATCGTCCCTCTCGCAAATACCAAACGCATGGCTGCAAAGAAAAGCCTTCCCATAGATTCGCATAACCAGGAAACGCCAAAAACTCCATCATCACCCAACCAATGTGTCCCAAACCGGTAGTACAGATGAAGCCAAGCATATCGCTTTTTGATATCAAAAGCGATGGATAGCGCTGAATGGGCAAATCAGTCCCTCTCTTCCTCTTCCTTTTTTGCCAGTGACTCCTGTAATCTCTCCTCTTGTTTCTTCCAATGTCCTCCTTCCTCGTAGTCGGAGCTAATCTTCAAGGCCCTCCTGAGACGCTCGCTCTCCTTGATCTTGGCATCGGCCATCTCGTGCACTTGATGCTCCTTGAAAGCCCTCCTCGGCGCATTGGCTTTGTTCTTGGAATTCATCTCCGCAAGCAGCTTCTTTCGTAGTTCGTCGCAACGGCGGTCAATCTCTTCTTCATCAACCCTATGAGATGGTTAGCAGCTGCCACTTGCGCATTCATCCAGGAGATGGCATACTCTTCTTCCTCAAGCTGGTCTCTTAGGTCAAATACCTTGACCTCAATCTCTCTCTTTCGATCGTGCTCGAGAATTGCCTTGTCCGGCTGTCGCTGCTTGTGTCGCATGCTGTCTCGATCTTTGGGATACGGCGCGCCGTAATCACGCGGTCTGACCTGGGCGAGGTTCCGCTGGACATAGCCCGAGGTTCCACTGCCTCGCGGCGTCGAGAGTCCGACGTTGTCAGACATTGTTGCTGTTGCGTATTGCTCAAGTGGTGTCTGCGGCTGTACGATACAACGGCAGCTCGAGGTTGAATGAAGCTTGATCGCTGTGTCGCGTCGAGACTCAAAATTCGAGGTTCAAGGTTCTTTGCCGAAGCCAGAGCGCTGCAGGGAACTGGAACTGTCATCATTAGCGGCTCTAGCGCCCATCCTGCTGGGAAGTCCACTGCAGCTAGCTGCCGGAAGCGCTACGAATGGAGAATAGCGCTGGGCGGTGAAAGCTGTCCGCTGATAAAGGTGAAGAGTCATGGCAGAACTCGATAACGGAGGGGCAAATTGTGCCCCTCTGCCATTTTCTTACCCTGCATCATTGGATGTGAGATGCATCCTTATGAGTCAACTTCTTGAATTAACCCATTTAGCCTGTCTGCATTGCTTTATAGACATTTATTTATTGTCACCGCTCTTCCCAACTCTCTCTTGGATCGATCATTTCTCTGTACATCACATTCTCCTTCCAAGATGCCACACCTTCCTGAGATTCTCCCTAGAGAGGGCGAGTCAACGATTGTCTTCCCACCGGTTACCAGGGACCATATCCAAAATTGTTCATACGACGCCTGGTTCCCTAAATACCGAAGCTCATGTCTCAAGTCGCGGATTATACCTCTTCCACCGGCATTTATATCATATCTGCATGAAGACGGCATCATTCTCGCAGACGATGACGAGGCCAATGAGCCAGAGGAAGCAGAGTGGTCAAGCTCTGCCGCTACGCATCCCCGAGTCTCTCAATATGACTCTTCCGATGACGAGGATGAGGAAGAGGAGGAAAGACTTCCTCCCAACAAGCGCTTCCCGGAGATGCACGAAGTCATCAGACAGAAAATCGCCGAGCTGGGTGGTTCCGTCGCGCCGAAGCTTAACTGGTCCTCTCCAAAAGACGCCAAATGGATATCACCTCATCAAAACACGCTCAAATGCACCACTCCAAACGACATTTATCTCCTCTTGAAGTCGTCTTCTTTCGTCTCGCATGACCTTCTTCATGCATTCGACGACTGCACAGATACTCCGCCAATGAGACCGTTCACGCCGGTTCTTGTCCTTAGACCTTTCTTCACGCCTCATGTTGCTCTAGAATTTAGGTGTTTTGTCAAGCACCGGTCACTCATTGGAATTACGCAACGGGATCTCAACCACTACGACTTTCTGGAAAGGCTTCAGGCACAGCTGTGGAAGAAGATCAGGACGTTCTTTCGCCAGAAGTTGAGATTGACGTTTCCCGATTCCTCCTTTGTCTTTGACATTTATATCCCTGGAAACACCTTTGCAGAAGATGGCTTGGGAAAGGTGAGACTCATTGATATTAACCCATGGGCCCCAAGCACGGACAGCCTTCTCTTTGCATGGGAGGAGCTTCTCACCATGGAAGTTGAGAGTCCCTTGTACGGATCCGTTTCGGAGGGCCAGGACGCAGATGGGAGTGGAGGGGAGACAACGGCAGATGAGACGGATGACGATGCGGATGCCGAGTACAGCCCAGATCGCCAGCCAGAAGTCCGCCTCGTCAGGAAGAACGACCCAGAAGCGTACAACTTCAGCTCACCACAGTACTCTGCTCACAAGCTTCCCAAGGAGGTTGTTGATGCCAGTCTTGCAGGAGAAGGGGGCCTGAGAGAGTTTGCCCAGCGATGGAAGGAGATTACTGAGGGCCGCGGCCAGGGAATCTGGGAGCAGCCGAGCAACCTGAATGCTAGCACGTAAGAGAAAAATAAAATAAACGGTGAATACTTTACAATAACAAGCGAAGTCCTTTATGCTAACCTCTCTGGACGATGCCCTAATGTCAGTCAGCAAAAAGTGAACTGAATCTGAAGCAGCAGAGGCTCAACACGGTGCGAAATACCGCATTCTCCATGGAAATTTTACTATTTATGCACAGTACGCATCTGCCTAAAAAGGCCCAGACTCTCTCCATCGCGTTGCCGGGTTTCTACAGCTGCGCCCAGCTGTTGCCGCTCCAACCCAAGACCATCATCATCACCAACTCACTTACACGATCATCAAGGGCTTCTGGCTCGAGGAATCTCAATTAATTGCTTGATACCATCTCAATTGCCATCATGCCTAGCCGGCCACGCCCGAATAAAGTGACGAAGCCCGCGCCAGGGTCTGGAGCTCGTAGAGGCAGCCGTCAATCGTCTCTTTCTGCTGCAGCCCAGGAGCAGCTCGAGCAATACGCAAAGGAAGCTGCCAACTCGACCGTCAACCATGACTCCACGACGCTTGAAGATGCCATTGAAGAGAGCCCCATTGAGTCTGCCGATAAGTTCACAGCCATCAACTTGCTCGCCAATGGAGGTTCCATGACGCCTCTTCACGGCGCTCTTCGCTCCGCCGACGACTTTCAGCTTGACCACCAGATGCCCGATCATTCATCCCCAGAAGATCCGGCAGCTCGAACTGCAGCAGATTTGGCCTATGCCGCCTATGGGGACCAGGTCAAAATCGACAGTGCTCTGTGCAAGAAGCTCGCCGCTGAGGTTGCGTTGCGAGAGCCGACTCAGCGTCGCGTCGACCAGAAGCTCAACATTGAGCGTCGAAGCAATGTTGAGGCTCTGCTCGCTCACATGACGGGACAATCTGCCCCCAAGCCTTGCAAGAATTGCCACAAGGGCCATGGACCCTGGACCCAATGCGTTGTGTATGACGGCCAGATGTGTGGAAGCTGTACAAACTGCTGGTTCAACGCAAGTGGCTCAAGGTGCACGTTTCATGGTGAGTTGCGATTTCATCTCCATCAATTGCACGTCAGATTGGCGACAGATACGCATTCTCTTTTGTCTCATCCCCTCCTCCTCCTCCTCCTCCTCCTTCATTTATTCACTCTCAGTTCTCGTGACCAACACTCAGCTTCATCATATCAGTTGAACTATTCATGCTAATCATCTTGCACAGAGAACAACCATCCCCAACCGCAAACCTTGTTCGCAGCATCTGTCGCGGCCTCGGCAAATCTCATGGCTCTACAACCACCCGCGCTATCGCAGTCTACATCACCCAACGCGAGCACCAATCTCTCCGCAGACATCACCCAATGGGGCCTGTCTGAGTCAACCAAGCAGTTGATCACCCAGACAATCACTGACGTAGCCACCTTCTCTCGAAGGGATCGTTTTCTTGCGCGAATCGAAGCCGCTGCTAAGGAGCTCGGCATGCGAATTGCAGAATACGAAGAGTTTCTCAGGACCCCTGAGGGCATGGCGGAACAAAATGCTGCCTTGGAGAGGGAGCGCGCCCAGAATAGCCACACTCAGGCTACTGAGGCTTCGATGGCTGACGCCCCTTCTGACGAAGTCCTGAGTTGAGCTCTAGTTGGCTACTTTTGCTATTATCATTACCCGCCACAACTAAGCGCGGTGACGACACTAAATAGAGAAGGGAGAGCAGAAACGAAAGACGAGTATGTCACTTTCAACTGTCAGAAAACCCTCTTTGGCAGTTCGACCTTGACCAGCAAGGTGTCGGTCAGAACATGGTATGTTCCCCGCCGGGCGTTTAATGCTTCTGTTCGAGGACTGACCTTCTTGACTACAGATTATTCCATCAATTCCTTATTATCTGCTCTATCAAGGTCAAGCTTGGCTACCGAAGAGCTACGACTAACGATGCATATCAAGCAAACTTGTCCAGTTCATACCAGCCTTGGTCATTCGATGAACAAAAAAGCCACATTCTGGATGCCTTACTGTTTCGATATCCCACATTGGGGGAGATATTGGAAAGTCTAAAATCTTTTCATCTTTTCATAATTTCGACGTCATATACACTTCGATCTTGAAGACACACGGATTTTTGAGCATGGGCTTGCGTGTTTCTCTCTTCTTTTTTCGCCAGTTTCTTTCATATCTGGTACATATACATGGTGGACATTGGGCATTATCGCTTTTTTACTGACGAATTAACGAACTTGGTCATGAGTTACGCGTACGGGGGGAGTTTGAGAAAGTTGGCTGCTATTTCAGAGGATATATACCCCCTTTTTAGTTTTGCTGCTTTGGCACTTATAGGACGTACAATACCCATTTGACTTTTCATAACTGCAGTTGCAATCTCCTTGATGATGAAGAAGATATGTGATTCGATATGACTACCGCTTCGAACAATTCAAATTACTCTGTGCATATGCTCTTACTCATTACCAGCAATCACCATTCAAACTCACGGAATCACGCACGAGACACAGCAGCATTGAAGACAATCATGACTATTACATAAAATACTCGAATTTTACACCCAGCCTCTCTCATGCTATAATCTTCCCACACCAAAGCAAACAAAACATCGTACTACCCGCTTCTCCCCGCCCAACTGCCATGCCCAAGTCCTTTTCCCTCCTCGACTCGCCATCGCGGAAAAAAAAAAGAAAGAAAGAGAAGAGAAGTAAAGATAGAGAACAGAAGAAAGGAAAGACGCGCAAATGAAAAAAAAAAAGATAACTGGTCCTTTACGCATGAGTTCAGATTCAGAAAACAAAAAAACAAGAACAAGAAAAGAGATACACAGGCGAGGAAACATTAGAAAAATAACAAGAGATGTAAAAAAAAAAAACTGAATATGCAAGTACAGAAAACTGGAAAGCTGGAATATATGACAATACACACTTTTTTTTTAAAAAATGAGACAGGCCGAGTGGGAAAAAAAAATGTGGTTTCATAATTAAACAAAGTAAATGGCCGCCGCCCATTCGCACAATCGTGTCAGATGTAAGTAGTTTCCCTTTCTTCCCATGAGCTGCCACGCCGTTGCCCCTCCCTTGACGGCCTCTCCTTCTTTCACGACGTTGGCCATATCCTCTTCTTCTTGAAAATTGAAAGAAGATTTCATTTTGATACACAGCATCTCCCGACAATCCTTGTAATAGCTCTCACAAGTCTTGTAAATGCCGAATGTTCGCCATAGAGTCTTAGCTTTAGAAAAAAAAAGTACCATTATCTAGGACAGTTCAAGATTGCGAAGGAGAAGCCCGCAGAAAAAAAAGAAGCTCCTTGAGCTGGCTGTCGTCTCGCTGGCGCAAGGAGTACAATCAAGATCATGAGCCGTATCTCCGTGGCCCATCTGGTGGCGGTCGTAATCGAGTTTGAGGGTATTCGTGCGTCTTAAAACAAAAATAGAAAAAAAAGAGAGAAAGAACAAGTCGTCTAGATGAGACCGCATAAACGGAGGTTCTCCTGGATAATGATATCTAAAGCAAAAATGTCAGCTGTGATTTCATAAAAAAATGTCAAGGGAGCCATCTCATACCGTTGACTGCTGCCATGACAAAGCGAATCTGGGTGGTATCTGTGGCGCAGGTAAAGTGCGTGTAAATCTGCTTCGTCTCGTGCTGGTTCAGGCTGACGAATCGGTTCAGGATGTAATCGCACGCGGCCGCATAATCATCACCACCCTCGTAATCGGGGAAGTAGTTCTTCATCGGGCTGACCGGCAGCTTCTCCTTGAATCTGTCGATCTTGTTGAGGAAGAGAATGATGGACGTCTTGATGAACCATCTGGAGTTGCAGATTGAGTCAAAGAGCGTCAGAGCTTCCTGCATTCGGTTGACGGTCTCGTCCTCAAACAGCAGCTGGTCGTACTCGGAGATGGCGACCAGGAAGAGAATGGTGGTGACGTTCTCGAAGCAGTGGATCCACTTCTTTCGCTCGGATCGCTGACCACCGACGTCGAACATTCGGTAGGTCAAATCACCAATGATGAATGTCGTCTCGGTGATACCAGTGGTCTTGACACGTGATCGGAGAACGTCCTGGTCGTTGGGCATGTAGTCGGGAGCGGCAATTCGCGCGATGTTATCGAAGTAACTAGTGATGGAGGTGAGCACGCGAATGCAGCTTTTGGTAGCGCGAGCCAAAAGAAAAGCGAACTTACTATCTGGCTGAATCGTTCAGCTGATATTCGCGAGATCGCTTGAAACACTCCTGTACACCGTGGTCCTTCCACAGAGCCTCGATGGCACCGCCAACTTCCGGGGGAAGGACATCGCCTTCGATCTGAGCAGGCTGGATGAAGATGGTCTGGACGTGGTACTCCATGCGCTGGTCCTCAAGGGGCAGCTCGAGAGACTCCATGGCCTCGAGGATGACGCGCATGGACTGAACAGTGTTGCTGAAGATGATTTCCTTGAACGACTCGCGTTCATCGCGAGAGTAGCCACCCTCGTGGATCAGCTTCATCTGCTTGAGAATGGTCGACTTTCCAGATTCACCAGCACCTATCAATCCGTTGTTAGTCGGGCGGTGAACTCGCCAGGGAGCAGCGGCGTAGATTCTGCACCAAACACGGCCGAAATGGTGTACATACCCAGAAGTAACATCTTGATCTCATTGCGCTGCATCATCTTGTCCCGCTTGAGCTGATTCTCAATCTCCTCGTTCCGGGCCTTGCCCTCCTTGTCCTCTGTAGACATTCCGCAACCCATCTTGGCGACTGTGGGGGATGGTATGAGTATGAATAGAATTCGTCTTGAAAATGAAAATTATAATGAGATGCAAATGAATGAGTCGCGTATGCTACGTGTCTAGAATCGCCAATGATGCCGACGTTGATACTGTAGGAGAGCAGATTCTGTTAGTCAGGGGTTCGCCGAGGCAAAAAAACACTGCCGCCTGCTGGGTCGCACGAGCAATCGCGACGATGCACGCGCGAGAGCGTCGAAAGCGAGAAGCTCTGCGCGAGGATCCGCGTCGTGTCGCTCACGAGATGGCTGATGGTCGAGAGGAACCGAAAAGCGCAGTCGCGGTCGATGTAGGCCTATTGGCAGCGCAAAGAGGACCAGCTGGAAGCGAAGCAATGCTCCCCGAAAGAGAAGGGAAAAAAACAGACGAAGAAGCAAGAGAAGAAAAGGGAGAGAAGAAGAAGAGAAGCTTACTAGAACACGGCCTGCTAGGCGAGGAATGAATGCCAATGGAGGGCAATTCAAGGCGGACACGAAGAAAAATCGCAAACAGAGAAGAGAAGATGGCCAAGGAAAGAGTTGGTGCGCAGGTTGAAGACGCAGAATTGGGTGTCGTGGAAATGAGATCCGCGACGGAAATGGAGATTGGGGGGGGGCGAGAGGAGCAAAACCGGCTGGGGGAGGATGAGCGAGAGGATGCTCCAAAAGGTATGGCCGAGAAGGAGGTACTCGTACTATTGCCGTAGGGGCTTTGGGGGGGGCCAAGCTCCTAATACATGCAAGTACTTGTACTAGTGCTGCGTCGAGCGCGAGAAAAGGGAGCGCGGATGTACTTGGGGAGCACCGTACCTGAATCCGCCCTGGAAACTGTGGAGATGGGCCAGGGCGCCAGGGTCTGCCCGGGCGGGCTAGAGCTCCAGCTTCAGTGGCTCCACCGCTGCTGCAGCAGGGAGCGCGCTGCGAGGTGCCGTCACGTTATGACGGGGGAAGTGCGCGCAGCAGCCCGAACTGGTGGATTGCACAGTGCATGGACGAGGCGCCGGGCGCTGAAACGCGGCCACTTCGCACTATGAATCTCCTTTTGCGCTTGTACACGGTGCGCACGGCTGCCGACACTCGGCCTGCCCCATTCGCGGCGCCGTGTACCTGTACCTGGCCAAGCAGTCGCTGTGCTGCACCTCCACCACAAATTGCAAAAGCACCAAGCAGCAGCACAGCTTTTAGTGCTTGTCCTCAGTCAGGGTGGCTTGACCGGGATCAACAGAGATACATGATGTGTTTTTAATTGCATCCCCGATCAAGCGCCTCCGCAGACCTGCTAAGTTACACGGGCCAGTGGCGCGTACTGTGCAGCTATCAGGCGGGCGAGCATGATGGTAATTTCAGCGGTCGCATGGGCTGGCTGGCAGGAGCAAGCAATAGTTGAAGGCTCGAGTCGGGGCGCGCAATCTGTGCGAATACTGTACAGCCTCACGTCGGAGTAGGCGACGAGTGACGGCTGGATCACGATCCCTATTGGGCGATGGCTCTACCGCAAAGCACACCAGAACACACGCTTTGACGCAAGGCAATGCGGTGCGACGCAGCCCAGCCCACGGCAAGGCAGCGGGCGGGCAGGCAGTGGGCAGGCAGAGGAAGCGCAGAAAAGGATTCAAGGTTGGATTTGATCTGATGGATTGGCATCGCCGCCAATTGGCCTCGTGCCGTCCATGTACTCCGTACTAACGCTGGACTTGTGCACGCACAGGTACCTTAGTACCTCGTACATGTACTTGCACTTTAATGTCCCAGGCTCACTCATCTTGATTAAGCGACCAATCATCATGCCACATGGACTCCGGGATGCTCAATTTGGCACGAACGGGGGTTCGAGCATTAGCCGGTTCAATTGAGCCCCTGGTCTGGGCCACTGAGAGCGCCGAGAGCCCTGGGAGGAGGTTTGGAGTGCCAACTATCGCGGTGGAGCGACTGTCCTAGAGCAGCAGGCGACGACATGGGGGCCCCTGGCCTGGTCCGTCCTGGGTGCGAAATGGATTCTGGCGCTAGGGAGAAAGGGCAATTCAACCATCAAGTTCAATTTTAACATTTGACGATGCTGATGCGCGCGTTTGCCTGTCCCGTCGCTTGCTGCTGCTGCTGCTGCTGCTGCTGCTGCGTTTGTGATGTGACGTGATTGTTGGCTTATGGATGTGTTCATCGATATGGACCTCTAATGCCTAAAATTGATAGGGGTTGCTAAAACGAGGCATCTACCGTGGAACTTGTACGCCAAGTCAGGGAGGGTCCTACGATTACAGGATCAATGAATCACAACATATACCTACTACACTCCATAACATCCATAACATGGAGGGCCGCACTTTTGCTGCTCGCCATCGCTAATGATCGCCACAATGGCTTCCATCTTTCTCTCCAGGGCAATAAATGCTACAGAGCGGATACCCGAGAGCAGGTCAGGGGTCGCCCGACAAGGGTCTGTTCTGCTAGTACAGGTACTTTCTCCGTCCTCGTACGCACAACGGAGCCATTGGATCTTTAGTCGCGTAGCTTGAGGCTTCTCGAACAAATTCTGGCCTTCTGTTACAGGTTCTCCGTCCTGCAGGTATTACCAGAACAACGGTCTCGGTGCGCTTGGACTCTTTCCGTACGATTTCACGGAGTACTCCGTCAAGCAAAAGTCAGCCAGAGGTCCGCCCTCATGGCTCCGCGCATGCTTGGTGCCACAGCCCTGTTTGCTGCTACTACGAGTACTACCTAACAAGGCACCCAGATATTGGTCTGACTGTAGGTACAGCAAGGTGCAGTAATATTTGCTGGAGACAGTCAATCAATTTCTCTCCTGAGAAAGACGAGACGGAAGTCATCGTGTTTGGTATTACAGCAGTACCGCTACGGAGCAAGACTACGGAGCATAATCAGACCAAGGCGCATTAGCCCATCTGCCTGCAGGCGCAAATTACATCAATTACATGTGAGCATCTGCGTCCAGCCGAGCGCCAGCAAGACCCAGAAAACGCCACCGTTTTTTCATCGGTCGGGCGCCGGTACGGTAAAGGCATGGAGTGCGCTGCCCATGAAAGCTGATAGATATTACTCGTACTGTACTCGTGCTTGTATGGACTACAAGTCTTTGAGATGGAGGCAAATAGGATCAATCCTCTGTGCCTACTACCTTGGGTAGGCTGAAACTGTGTAGCATGAGGGAGCCTCGTTCGTTGTCTTCTTCACGACAAAACAATGGAAACAAACATTGGAAATAAAATCCATCAAATCCATCAATGGAATAAGGGGCCCCGGCCAGCCTGGCCACGCCAAGCGCAGGAAACAAAAACAGCACGATGATGGCCAGGGGAAACAGAACCTAATCACATCAATTGCCTGGTTTGACGCTACGTACCACCTTTCTCACACATTGTGCCCCGCTGCTCCGTGGTGCTAGGGTATTCTGGGGCCAACTGGTATGATTTCCTAGCACCGAATATGGGGCGGCTACCAGCTGGTTAACCTGAGCTACCCGCATCTACCTGGATGGTACGAGTTCTGTCGCAGGTACTTGTACTGAGACTTGTGCTTCAGTGCCACCCATGCCTTTTCTCGTATCCAGCGCAATTCAACCAAACATCAGCGCTCTGGCTTCCAAGCAACCGCGGGTAGTATTACCATTACCTAGTGCGTACTACTACGAGTCGAGCATCTGCATCTGTTCACGTTACTCTGGCAATGCTGGCTCCCATTTGATGATATAGACAGACTGGTGCCAGGCGCTATATACTGATTACTGCAGTTACAGGTCCCGCGGCAGCCGTTTGAGCGCTCATCTGCGCCGAATCGCTAGCACCCTCATTTGGCTCGCTCCACAGAGTTGATGAGTATTGACAGTAGTGGTAATAGGTACATGTACTTTGGGTGGATAGAGGATTGGATTGATCAAATATCAAATGTCCCATATGAATCGCTGGCTGCAACGATTACGGACATGAGTGCAGGCGAGCCCTGGAGTCGTGGGTTATCATCCGATCATCACTTACATTGTCCGGCTATTGCGAGTATTACACGCACCCATCACATACGAGTGAGTACTCGGTGAGGAAGCGATCTGTAATACCTACTTCTTTATCCGTAGGTACATACGCCAATATCCCAACACAAGTCGCTGACCACATCAGTCAATGTTATACACGTACCCTCCGGACAGGTCATTCACCCGCAGAGCCTTGCATCCAGGTTCCTCCGTACTGTATCTGTATAACCGTCTTGCTCTGCCTGTTGCCGCAGAGAAAGTGTTTGAACGTTCGATTTACATATCGACTGCTGGAAGCACGGAGCAGCAGTGTGCTCATGCCCATGCCCATGGTTGATACAGTTACAGGTGCCTGGCGTGTACTCGTAGCGCGTCGTGATCAGCCTGTTCTCTCGCCCGTGGATCTTGTACGTGTATCACCAATCCCCTGAACCGGGGCCGGCCGCTGCAGGAGATGACAAGTCTGGGCAAATGCAAAGCCATGGAGCCGTTTTTTATTGCAGTGTCTGTGCGCATGCCCCGTGCCGTTCTCGTACTATTTCTCCGCCTTATAGCACACAAGCAGCAGAGATCGGGAATGACGCATTGATGTTTCTGATGCCACACCGTACAATTTGCCTTTCCGCCCATGTCGATGATTCCGATTGACAGGCATCGTTTGGAGGTACCTACTGCCCAAACCGTTGCGTGTTAATCGACCTTATATCCGATAGCATTCGCGTAGACTAGTGTACGAGTATGTAGGTTTCTGTTTGCGGCTTCTTTTACGTGTTTGTACTGCAACGGCCGTCGCCTATTTCCCGGTCAACATGGCCGAAATGGCGATGTGATGATCGCGATTATTGGCACAGGCGCTCGCCCATGAGCATGACTCTCACTACATTCAGAGGCACTCGTATCTATATGGTGGAGTGCGGACAATTTAGAGTCGTGTGTCGACACACAAACAAAACTCCGCAACATGGCTTGGCTCATGCACAAGGTAGATAATACGCCAGACGTATGACCATTAGAATAGCCGGCATGGAAACGTGAGAACATCCCGAGGGCGGCATGTGATTACGCTCAAACAACTCCAACTGCCGAGCGGAAACTTTAAACCGCGAAAGAGAGCGTATCAGGTATCAAGCTCCTGACACCAGACGATAGCATGGCAACGGCCGTTTGTGCAGCGCCATGTTGAAATTGACCTGGAACACCGAGACGTGATCTCCAACAGTCTATACCAGGATGCTTGTCTTATCCCCAGTCGTCGCCTGAAGTTCGTATTGCGGCTAAGCATCATCCTTGTCTTGGAGGGAAGATCGCTTCTTTATTTTGTCTGGTGGTCTCTTTGAACCCGTCGTACTGTACTCCGTAGAGGCAGTTTCAAAAGGTGACTTCGATTAGGGATGTTTTACGGGAGTCAGCGCAAGTGTGCATGAGATGTGCAGATCTCGTTACAGATTGTCAAACAGGACTGCTTACCACTAGTCCATCAACTCCATGGTGATAAAGCTAGGTACGAATGGTTTGAAATGCCTAGTCTTTCTACCATATTTGCTTTTTCCTCGGGATTCTGGGTCAGATTCTTCAGCCCTTTCTACGAAACTGTACGCCTTATGACGGACAATATCCACGTGGATCGTCGGCCCATGGGGCTTCCCGTCATCACCTCATCGGACTCATGAGTTTCAAGATATTTATAGTGATGAAATGAACAGCCCTGCGCAAGTACGGTGTTCTCCGAGTAAACATGGGGGAGACAAGCGTCTATATCATGCAGCTGTATTAGCGAGCTGAAGCAGTGGCCGCGTGTGATTATAATGGCTCCCCCAAGAAATCGCAATTGGAAGTAATATCCTTAATTTCATTGCCTGTGCCAAAACCGCAATTGTCCAATTTCATCGGCGAGGACTCGTGGTAGTGGAATTATGAGATGGGTACTCCTTAGCTGAATCCCTAGTAGGGGTTGAGCCACATGGCTCCAAGGTGTGAATTCCCTTTGTAGGGGTTATGAATTGGAGGTAGGGAGATGGTGTTTGCCATGGAGATGAGATCCCTATCCGGGCACTCGTGATCCACATGGAGTAGAAGATTCCATGGCATGGTCAACTAGCCACCAGAGGTATCGCATAAAACAGAGAGTATAGAAAGAAATGAGTTATCGGAGTACCATGGTGGTAGTCATGTGCTTCCTACAGAGTAGCTGGGCTGCGTACAGATGGGGATAAGCAACTAACAATTGAAAATCTCAACGCTACTATCGCGTTCAAGGTAAAAAGACTATAGATTCAGTTACAAGTAGTATTTATCATTTTCAATGGTTACAGAGTGGGAAAAAAAAAAGTAGTGAGAATGACGAATTATCCGTACCTAGATAGCCCGAGATAAAGATCCTTGAAGCAGTTCCTGGGTTAGTAGGCTTTGTTCTAGGTAGGTACGTCAGAGGTGCATGGTTTTTGTCTGTGCTCATATCTAGAGATAGCATTGACTTGACGCAGGAAAAAGCACCAAACTCCATCATGTATCGTTCCAAAACAATGTGGTGAAGTGAATGTCGACTTCAAAAATCAGAGCGAAAATACAACGGCCATCAGTGGCCGCATGTGGAGGCGCCGGATCTGCGTTGTGTCCGATCTTTCAGATATGGTTGGTTCGGATTCCAGCCGGCGCCAGGCACCGCCTCCAATCGGCCTAAAGCTGCGCGACCGCAAGCGCCCAACTTGCACATCACCGAGTTTTGGTCTCGTCGGCAGCGCCCTTCGTCCACGCTTCATCGCTCGTGTCCCAAATCGCTGAACCGAGCATCAACGAGGCATCTGCTTCTCCAGAGATCAAGATGGCGATTCCTATGACGCAATTGGGCGGTCGTGGTAAGTCGGTTTGTTGTCCGTGATGACCTCTGGACCTGGCGCAATTGGCTGACCCAAAGACGACAGCCTTCCACCACGAAGACAACGACGAGGTAGAGCGCGAGTATGACCATCTACGCGCTCTTGCCCATGCCGAAGCGGACAAGCGCGGCGACTGCTACGAACGGGTACGTTGCGCCGACTCGAGCGACGAACCATTTTGTAGACTGACATGCCTAGTCTAAACGCGCTTACGAAGATGGCGACGGTGCTGGAGCAAAGGAATTGTCCAACCAAGGCAAGGCCCACGACGCCAAGATGAAGGAATACAACCGGCAGGCTTCCGACTACATCTTCCGCGAGAACAACGCTCCCGGCCGTGTCGACGCCGACAGCATCGACCTCCACGGGCAGTTCGTCGAAGAGGCGGAACGCATTCTCGAACAGCGCATTCGCGCGGATCAGGCCCGGGGCCAGACGCACTTGCACGCTATTGTCGGCAAGGGCAACCACTCGGCGAACCATGTTCAGAAGCTCAAGCCCAGGGTAGAGGAGCTGTGTCGCGAACTAGGGCTCCAGTATAGCTCAGAGGAGAATACCGGCAGGATATACATCAACCTCCAGGGCGGAGAGGCTATCCCGCCACAGCACGGCGGGTATGGTGGCCATCAAGACCAATACCAGCCTCCTCACCATGGACAGCAACAGCATGGTGGACAGCATCGACCCCCACAGCATCACCAACAACATCAAGAACAAGACGAGGAGACGGCGGATGGCCTTATTCCACTCCTCTTGCAGAAGCTGGAAAAGGCCTGCTGCGCGGTCATGTAGAGTGGGCGCAAGGCAATACCGTGGCGCTACTGTTGTTGGTTTTGGCTATTCGAGTGATCCTTGGATATTTGCTCTTCTGCTTTTCAAACGTCTTTGTTTTAGATACACACACATATACCACATGGGATATTGGGCTTTATGCATTTCTACCATGATGAGATCAAATAGGTCAAAATCAGAACAAATTTATTCTAGAAAACTAATACTATTTGTGAACGAATGAAACAATCTAAGCTCTTTATGCCAAGTTATACCGAGTCAAATATCAAAGGGGTATTTCCCTAATAATCCCATTGCCGTTCCGCGCTGATCCTATTGTAACCTTTGTTCGCCCTTAGTTAATCCATCCCGAAAACCCCTTCAATGCAGACCCCCTTCAAAGCCGTTCTCCTACTTACTGCTAAAAGCTTGCATCTCCTCGTCGCTTCGGGGAACCGGTTGCGGCACGGCCTTGCCCAGGTTGAAACCAAGGATTTCCGATAGGAGAGTAACAATCATCTCCATGAGGGAGGACATGCCGAGGTAGAGCCAGGGAGTAGAAGTAATGCCACCGAAGATGAGGAGACACGAGTATACGAGGCGCACAAGGATCAGCGGGAAGCAAACAGCCACGGTGAAGATGATTCGGTGCTCGCCGGCGCCAACGTGGCTTTGGTTGAGGATGGCGAGGACAATGGCAAAGGCCAGGAGAGCCGTGATGGCCACCAGAATGCCCTCGGCAGCGTGGCTGACGGTGGAATATTTCACCTTTGGCTTGCCGTCGACGATGGTAAAGTCAGACTGAGTGCCGCCCACAATAAGGAGGATAATGGCGAGGAGCATCAGAAGTTCCACGAATTTCTGGTGCTGGGGTCGGATGAGGATGCGGCCTTTGCTCTGGATGGACTCGAAAACACGGGAGAGAAGGCCAAGAGCAAGCATGATAAGAGGTGCCAAACCAATGCCTTCGAGTGTCATCCAGCCAATGTAGAGGTTGATGTTGTCTGGTGAGGAAATTGTGGCAAGGCGAAGACAGGCGCCGATGACACGGGCGAGAGAGAGGATAATGAGGGCTCGGAAGGCGGCGTTTTTGGCGAAGCCATGCTTGAGGCAGAGAAAGATGCCTCCCGCTAGGGCGAAGAGATAGAATGCGAGTTCGGCGATGGCAATGTCATCGTATGTTTGGAGGGGGCGGCCCATGGTTGGTTGTGTAAGATGTAAAGGGGGAGGTGGAGTTGAGTTGAGTTGAATTGGTTATGTAAATCGAAGTGAGAGAGGTGAAAAGGAATACAAGAATATAATGTCTAATATTATTATGATTGTTTTCAAAGACAAGACGAAAAGTGTCTATGGAGTCTTCTCTTCAGTTGTGTCGTGAGGTTGATGATGTTCTGAGATGGACTCTCAAACAAGCAACCAACCCCCAAGTTATATAACTTTTCATCAATGCCAGTTACGCGTTCACTTGTAAGCTTCTCCATAACCATGAACGCTACGGCTACCGGCATCCTGTTAGGCTGAAAACGAGCAATTCCAACGCTGCTCGAATGGCCATCACTGGAACAGGCTCGATAAGCCTTGAGGCCTCGTCGCTTCCAGGAACACACTCCTTATTGGCCAGATTGAATCGATTGCCCGATGAGGCACAGCGCCATCTCTCAGGATCTCTCCCAAGTCCCCTAGCCGCAACGTTAGTAGCGCCCCGTTGCTCGGCGCTCTGTCCTCCGTCCTCCCGAACTACCGACCGGCGGCAGAAGGATTTGCACCCTGCCCGAATGGCATGGGCCTTTTCGGAATTAGGCCCTGTGGCGGTGCAACATTGCGAGATGGGTTTGAGAGAAATAGGAGTCATGTTTCGTCAGTTGTTTGTTTGATATATTGTCTAGCTTGGCCTGCTCAGGACGGCGTACCCGAGCAAGGACTTTTTTCTCTTTTTTTTCTTCTCTTATCACGCCCGCTGTGGGTGTTTTAATTAGTTGAGAGATCATGGGCAGGATGGACGCCTCTACTGTGACCAGTGACGTTACTGTTCTCACCACCAAAAAAAAAATTCCTACTACTAGGTAGGCCGACTAGGATTGAGTACTGCCACACAAAATTCCTCTTCCCCCACATAAACCAGTAACGACAGCATCAAGAAAGAAGTCCTTGAGCTCGGCAACAAGATGCCGGTACGTACGTTACTCGCTGCGTCATTCCGCACGCAAGCCCATTGTTGTAAAAAGCCAAAATGAGGGGTTCCCATTTTAACATGGTCGCCGTGCGTTTTCTCTATAGCTCATCACCCTCACGGGACTGCCCACGTCGGGCAAGTCGACACGGGCGAAGCAACTGCATGATTACCTCGCCGAGCGTATCCCCGGGACCAAGTACAGGCTGCACCTGATATCAGACGACTCGCTTTCAATATCGCGATCCGTGTACGACCTCTCCACGGTGCCGGTGCACACAAGATCGGCCAACGCCAGCGAAAAGGATGCGAGGGCGGCCATTTACGGCGCCGTGAAGAGAGTGCTGAGCGACAAGGACATTGTCATCCTCGATGGCCTGAATTACATCAAAGGCTGGCGGTACCAGCTGCACTGCGAGGCGAAGGCCGTCCGAACGCCGAGCTGCATATTACAAATTGGATGCTCCAAAGACCGCGCGCAGCAGGTTAACGAGGACAGGCTGAAACGAAGCCAGGCTGCGGCCGACCAAGACGGAGCCGACACGGCGGGCGACGTTGCAGAGCCGTATGAGCCTGCAAACTGGGAGAACCTCGTCTTTCGACATGAAGAGCCCAATCCCATGACTCGTTGGGACAGTCCTCTACATACGATAATATGGGAGGACGATGACGAGCAGGTCAGGAAGACGTTTGACTCTCTTTGGGAGGCCGTTGCGGGAGACAGCCGCAAAATCATCAGGCCGAACCAGGCTACGGAGCAGCGAGGGCGCGACGCGGGTGGCGATTACTTGTACGTGCTGGATCGCGAGACGCAGGATATTGTAAAACGAATTATGGACCAACAGGGCGATGATGGCGGCGGCGAGGTCAAAATCTCCCTTAGCACCGGTGGCAAGAAGGAGCTTGTCGTGGAGCTGCCGGCGAGAAAGATTGGCTTGCCGGAGCTGCAGAGGCATCGAAGAGCCTTTATGGGGTTGAATAGAGGGGGGATTGGGTTGGAGAAGGTGACCAACATGGCTGCCGACTCGTTGAGGGAGTCGTTTGTCAACTACCTCAATAACGCATTTGAGAATGAATGAGATGTTTAAAGCGGCTCAGATGATACCTATACTCTCTACTTTCTAGGCCATGTTTTTGCTATGAACCCAAAGACTCATAGGCGCTTCTCGGATTCAATACTTCGGATAGGTTGCCCCACGGGTTTACAAAATGTTGCAGGGTAGGCGACATGGGATAGAGAACAAGCGACGAATTGAAGTTGAGAGCCTAGGTAGCTAACGGAATAGAGTGAGGGTAACCGAAGTTTGAAAGCCCGGTCATTGCTCAATGCATGTAATCAGATACGCCGATGAGATGCTGGAAGGAGGCTGGATTCATACTGTAGATAAGAGATGTATACCTATGGATCGTGCTTACTGCAGGCAAGGTTCGGTGGCGGCGGGAAACGAAGCCAATGCGCGCCACGAGGAGAATCCCGGAAGCTATGGACAGCAAATTTGTTGGGCACTCAATGTCAATACCTAAATCTACTACTCCCGAACATTGAGGAAGATTGACTCGAGGGCGCTTCACAACAGTACCGTAGAATGCAAATCTTGTGAGACGTTACGATGGCCCCCGCATCTGCTCAGCAACGAGATGTATGGAGTCAATATGTACCTAAGGATGACTTCATCAAAATGCCAGGACCCATGTCAACGCCAGCGGACATCAAGGTTATCCTTAGTAGTAGTCTTGTACTCTTCGCAGCGATGCAATAAAATTAATTGACACCGGTCTCAATATCAAATTAATACGTTCAAGTTGGGTTATCGCAGCACTGGAGAGTTATCAGGGGGCAAATAGAAGCTGGTAGATGCCTCCAGTGCTGTGGCAATAACGTGCAACCAGCTGCTTATTCGATCAATCAGCTCTGCCCAGGCTGCAGCTCGTCATCGTACGCTGTGGCCTGGGCAGGGAGTTGCTGCGTGGGCGCGCTGATTAGCGACCTAGCCTGTTGCGCGTCCCCAGTTGCCTGGCGCTCTTTCAGTGGAAGTCGGCAGAAGATTCCACTGTTAGGCGGCCACAGCGCAGCCTCGCCAGTAACCACGCCGGTAGCGCTGCTTAAATGCCCCCCCGCATCAACGATATTCCGCTCCGCTCAGGGCAGCGCGCGCTGTCATTGGCCCGTGCCCCTCTGCTCCGGGGGGCGTGTGGGTGCCCGTGGCTACCTACGTTTAGGCCTTGTGTGCCAGATCTATGGGAACTCTCCGGACACCTCTAGCTTTCGCCGCTTAACCTTCTCTCCTTCATACCATTCTCTCCCCGATCACAAGTTCAAGAATCAACTCTCCTCCTCCTCCTCCTTTCTCAGACCACCTTTGAGGAGGCAGCATCTGCGTATTCTTTTCTTCTTCGTTTCCTCGAGCCCCGGCCTTGGTCCTGTTCTCACCCCACATCGTCGTGAACACAGCCGTCATCCGACACCATGGCTTCTCAGCCTGAAGAGCACAAGAAGAAGGTCAACCTGACGTATGTATAGCCTCTGGAGATGATTTGACGTAGCTATCGAGAAGACATGACCAGCTAACCACCTCGCAGCGACCCCTCCGGCGCGGAGATCAAGCATGTTTGTTCAGCCCACCTTGCTTTGCTAAGATATCCAGGGCGGGGAAACTAACTTTATCTCAGGAAGATGACACCGCCACTGCCATTCTCAAGAAGAAGAAGAAGCCCAACCAGCTGATGTAGGTGCTCAACTCGGACGAGCAACACGAAATCACATACTGACGCGGATCCAGGGTTACCGATGCCGTCAATGATGACAACAGCATCATTGCCCTGTCCGAGGCTACCATGGACACCCTCCAGCTCTTCCGCGGCGACACCGTCCTCGTACGAGGCAAGAAGAGAAAGGAGACAGTGCTCATCGTTCTTGCCGATGAGGAGCTTGACGAGGGAAGTGCTAGAATCAACCGAGTCGTCCGTCACAACCTCCGAGTGAAGCACGGCGATATGATTACCATTTCTCCTTGCCCCGATATCAAATATGTGAGTGCCCTCGATATCACCACCTGATTGAAATAGCACATCTGACCGTTACGATCAGGCCAAGCGAATTGCTGTGCTCCCCATTGCCGACACTGTCGAGGGCCTCACTGGCTCCCTTTTCGACGTTTTCCTTGCCCCATACTTCCGCGAAGCCTACCGACCGGTAAAGCAGGGCGACCTGTTCATCGTCCGTGGTGGTATGAGGCAAGTCGAGTTCAAGGTTGTCGAGGTGGATCCTCCGGAATATGGTATCGTGGCTCAGGATACCGTCATTCACTGTGAGGGCGAGCCTATCCAGCGAGACGAGGAGGAGAACAACCTGAACGAGGTCGGCTATGACGACATCGGTGGATGCCGCAAGCAGATGGCCCAGATCCGAGAAATGGTTGAGCTTCCTCTCCGCCATCCTCAGCTCTTCAAGTCCATTGGTATCAAGCCGCCTCGAGGTGTCTTGCTCTACGGTCCTCCCGGTACCGGTAAGACTCTCATGGCTCGCGCCGTTGCCAACGAAACCGGCGCTTTCTTCTTCCTCATCAATGGTCCTGAGATCATGTCCAAAATGGCTGGTGAATCCGAGTCCAATCTGCGAAAGGCCTTTGAGGAGGCTGAGAAGAACTCACCCGCCATCATCTTCATTGATGAAATCGATTCCATCGCCCCCAAGCGAGACAAGACCAACGGTGAAGTTGAGCGCCGTGTTGTGTCTCAGCTCCTTACCCTCATGGACGGCATGAAGGCTCGTTCCAACGTCGTCGTCATGGCCGCCACCAACCGACCCAACTCCATTGACCCGGCTCTGCGACGATTCGGTCGTTTTGACCGTGAGGTGGACATTGGTATCCCCGACCCAACTGGCCGTCTGGAGATTCTCCAGATCCACACCAAGAACATGAAGTTGGCCGATGACGTCGACCTGGAGCAGATTGCTGCCGAGACCCACGGTTACGTCGGTTCTGATGTTGCCGCCCTCTGCTCCGAGGCTGCCATGCAGCAGATTCGTGAGAAGATGGATCTAATTGACCTTGACGAGGATACCATTGATGCCGAAGTCTTGGACTCCCTTGGTGTTACCATGGAGAACTTCCGATTCGCTCTGGGCGTGTCCAACCCCTCTGCTCTCCGTGAGGTCGCAGTCGTGGAAGTTCCCAACGTCCGCTGGGAGGATATCGGTGGTCTGGAGGAAGTCAAGCAAGACCTCCGAGAGAGCGTCCAGTACCCCGTCGACCACCCCGAAAAGTTCCTCAAGTTTGGTCTGTCCCCATCCCGAGGTGTCCTCTTCTACGGACCCCCCGGTACCGGTAAGACAATGTTGGCCAAGGCTGTCGCCAACGAGTGCGCTGCCAACTTCATATCCGTCAAGGGACCTGAGCTGCTCAGCATGTGGTTCGGTGAATCTGAGAGCAACATCAGAGACATCTTCGACAAGGCTCGAGCGGCTGCTCCTTGCGTCGTCTTCCTCGACGAGTTGGATTCTATCGCCAAGGCTCGTGGTGGCTCTGTGGGCGATGCTGGTGGTGCCTCTGACCGAGTTGTCAACCAGCTTCTGACTGGTAAGTATTCCGCCGCCCTAGAGAAAATAATCATTGAATCTTTATGCTAACCGACTCGATAGAAATGGACGGCATGACCTCCAAGAAGAACGTTTTCGTCATTGGTGCTACCAACAGACCCGAGCAGCTCGACCCTGCTCTCTGCCGTCCTGGTCGTCTGGACTCGCTCATCTACGTGCCTCTTCCTGATGAGCCTGGCCGTCTTGGTATCCTCAAGGCCCAGCTGCGCAAGACTCCCGTCGCTGCCGACGTTGACCTCGGCTACATTGCTGCCAAGTCTCACGGCTTCTCTGGTGCCGATCTGGGCTTCATCACCCAGCGCGCCGTCAAGATTGCCATCAAGGAGGCCATCACAGCCGACATTGAGCGTACAAAGGCTCGCGAAGCCGCCGGCGACAATATGGATGTTGATGAGGAAGCTGAGGACCCTGTTCCTGAGCTGACCAAGGCCCACTTCGAGGAGGCCATGCAGATGGCTCGCCGATCCGTCAGTGATGTCGAGATTCGCAGATATGAGGCCTTTGCCCAGCAGATGAAGAACGCTGGCCCTGGTGCCTACTTCAAGTTCCCTGACGGAGCCGACGGTGCTGCCGGTGGCGACGCTGGCAACGCCTTCGGTGATGCCGGTAACGACGACGATCTCTACGACTAAAGGATGGCGGCCATGGGCAATAAAGAAACAACACCCTGGATCCCCTGTATTTGAAAGGAAAAAAATAAATATAAAAAAAGAGCTTCCCCCTACATCTGCATCCATTAGCCCGAAGTTGGTCGGGTATGAGTCTAATTTAGGGCATCAGGTGGCACACTACTTCGACCCGGGAGGGCAGTAGAATGATTAGAGCTGCAGAAGAGCAAAGGGAGGTTAGCTCAGGGTGTGGCGCTACAGAATCAGCCATCAAGACGTTCCCAGGACACGAAATTCAGTTGAGAATCGGTGATTACTGGGATCTAGGACCACATGATTAGGTTACGTTAGCTTGATAGACGAATGCAATTGGTTTGGTAAATAATAAAATTCACCGAGCCTCTGTGTTTAAATCCTGTGTGAAAAAGTCTACGAGATTTGCCGACCACTTTTATGTAAGTAGCATCCCGCCAGCGATGAGAGCTTGGCAGATGGTAAGAATTAATTCATGTGAGTGTGAAAGCATCTGGATTGTTTAACCAGGGAAGCTGGATTATTTCGTAAAAGCTAGTGTGGCTCTGAACAAACTTGTATAGTTGCATGGCCGGTATCATATTTCCTCATACGCGCCTTGATAGCTCATTTCGTATATAACGTACCATGCTCCCCCCAACTTTGGCGGAAAAAAAAAGGGAAGAAGACGAAGGAAGAAAAAAAAAAACAGCCATGTCCCCCAAACCCCATCTCCCGTCCCCTTATCTATATCACAGTATAACCAAGAAAGAAGAAACAAAAACATGGGTTAAAAAGAACAAAAGAAAAGTAAAGTCAAGGGACAAAAAACTATTTCGAACGGGCGCGCCCTGTTTTAAACATGCCTTGATGAGGTGTCTTTACGGCTGGTGGTAGTGAGACACGCTTCTTTGTCGATGATGGAGGAGGAGGAGGGGGAGGAGGGGGAGAGATTACGCAAGAAGGAGGAGAAAGGGGAGAAGACTGCTAGCCGCTGCCCTTCTCCTCGATCTCGCACACGGCGTCGAGGCTTTCCCTTGTGATGCGGAGGGCCTCTTCTATTACGGAGGTGGGGATGGCGAGGGGCAGCTTTTCGGACGAGGAGGCGCCGTTTGTCTTCTTGGTGTCGCCGTTGCCGTTTGTTGTCGCCGAGGACTTGCCGTTTGCGCTCGACGTGGATGATGTGGATGGCTGGCCCTCGCGGACGTCGTCGAGGACGCGGCGGAGGAGGGCGGGAAATGTGGTGACTTCGCCGGAGCGGAGGAGGGTCAGGGCGTGGTTCTGGATGGCGGTGGGCCAGTTGGAGGAGTTGGAGTTGAGGGCGTGGAGGAGGGCTTCTTGGATTCTACAGGGTGTGGGCATGTTAGCCAATTGCTTTCGGGGAGGAGAAGGGGGAGGGATGGGCACTGACTTGGTAACGTGGCCGTCTTTCAGCAGGATTGTGTTGATTTGCGATCGCAAGTCTGGGTCTAGCGTCGCGGGGGTGTAGTTTGCTGCCGAGGGCGGCACCTTGACGGGTGTAGATGGTCGTTGGGACATGATGGCTGAGATTGGTGTGGCGGTTCAGTCGAGTGAAGAAGAAGTGAAGATGGCGTAAAGCAGAGCAAAAAGTAACGAGGAAAAGTATTAGTCGGAGGGGGTGAGGAGGAAGAGCCTTCCGAAGGAGTGTGGTTGTCCTCGAGGTGGATGACTTGGTTGGAGTTGGAGATGGAGGCAAGATACGGGAGGCAGCCGGTGGATGGTGTTGAAACCTAGAGAAGAAACGGGGTTTGTTCTCTACTCTCCCTTTGGGCGACTGTGATTATTTAATAAGCTGTTAGCAGACCAATCCAAGAGCCAATAAAAACAGTAACACGAATAAGGAGAAACAGGAAGGAGAAGAAGAAGAAAGCAAACGGCAAAGAGAACACCAACAATGGCTTACCTCGTCACCAAGGCGACGGCGAAACACTTCACAGTCCCAACACCACTCCAGCGCGCCAGACGGAGCAAGAACGAAACTGTCCCAGGGCCAAGCAGGAAAAGCGAAAGAAGAAAAAGCGAGGGAAACAAATTGACCAATGGAGGAAGACAGGCGAAGGGGGGGGCCAAGCGGGGTGCAAATCGAAGCCTTGGGAAGCACGTCGGAAACGAGGCTGAGGCTGTCAATGTGCGGTTGTGTCCGTGCAAAGGCGACGGGATGCGATGGCGGCGGGAGGAGCTTTGTTTGGTGATAGGCCTCTTTGCTTAGTACTGGAGATGTGGCTGGGGGGTGTGGCGGGAGAGTGTTGGATAAGCCGCAAGGCTGAGTGTGGAGTCGAGTTGATGGGGGTCGATTGCAGCTGGTTGGCTGGAGGCGGGGGGACAGTTCAAATCAGTAGACGGAATGGAACTCCTTCTTTGAAATGGGGCTTTGGATATTTCCTCTTGGACACGTGAGAGAAGATCTGCGTTTTTGCGTTGCTTGTCTCTTGTACGCATCTCTATTCGTGGTTGATTGACCGTCGGATCAACTACGAGGCAGTTCATTGTGCCGAGATATCTCGGTGAGGGCGCCAGCAGCATGGCTCTTGTTCCACTGCGATGGCATATATATAAGGCATTCGGGATATACACAATCGGTGCTTTTCCTCTGGTACTGTACCCAACCTATGGAAACCTCTTTCATGTTCATGACTTTGAAAATGCCCTTATTTGCTTGTAAGTGCCTCTGGATTCGCTTATGACGAGTCCAGAATCCCGAATAGGTTGCTTTCAGCTCAAACCAGTTGGAGAAGGACAAATCTCCCTTGCCATGTTCGCATCAAATAAGACGTCGTATTATTTCCCTCGGCCTTGTCTTACGGAAACTTGATACCTAGGAGTCATTGGCACAGATTCCGTCTAGACATTTGTTTTCGAAACCTTTATCTGTCGTGCTTAACGTCTCCTACCGCTAGTGTATCTCAAGGGAAATATATAGTTGCATTTTATATAAAGGTTGGACATGAAGTTTTTATATGAGGTTGTCATAACTTGGGACTTCATATACTATGCTAAAAGAAAAGAACACTATACCCGGCTTCGGAAACATCACCGCTCACCAGTCCAAGGTGAAGAACAACAAGCTACAGCCTTACAAAGATGACTCTCTCGTAATGACCCGAGATGCCTTGATTGGAAAAGACTGCCTCGTCGGAGGACAAGTATATTCCTCTAGTATCTGCTACTATGGCTAAATTGGTCTTGACCGTCGGCTGTGGTCGGTAGTCAACAGGATTAAGTGGCCTAATACTCTCGAAAACATATTCTACGAACTTCAAGGCTTACATGTCTCCGGTGTGGAAGAGTAATGGAGACAGGCACTCACGTCAACGCTATCTCGTGGCATTTGCCGTGATACTTGATAACCAAGACATCATCGATATCCTCCATCTTGATCCATCATGTACGAATCCTTCGCAGGAGCACCTTAACCTTGTGGAGGGTCTGGCCCATTTACTGCTCGTCATTGTTAAGGTAGCTTATCATGAGTGCAATGATAGCAAACAATTGATAGCAAAGATGCCAACGACGTCTAGCTCGTTGCAAGGCGGTAAGAGTCTGGGTTGGGGTTGGCCGTTTCGCTGTGTACCTTGTCAGACTACCGATCCCAGCACCATAAAAGCACAAGCATTCGCCCGCCATGGCCGGAGGCTGGTTCGGAAAACTCAGATTTGCGTATCGCTAGGCAATGGCGGCTTTTCCTATCAGGTAGTAGTACCGATTCGATTCAGAGAGCGGAGAATGTTGCACGAACATGAATAACAGTTTTTTCCCTTGCATCTGTGCCGCTAGACCGGAGAGAAAGTGAGACACATTTGTATAGCTACTTTCCTAGGCGGGAAACATACCAATATGCCCCCTACGGAGTATGGAGTACTCCGTACAGACGGCCGTTTTGACCGTCCCGGCTCGCCACAGCCCGGTTGCGCCTTGCGTCGCGCCGGCGAGGTTAGCTGCAGCAAAAAGAGTGATCTCTCTGCAGGACTCGACTGATCTCGGGGAATCAATGCCGCGCTGTCTATATTCGTTCTAGACCTGCAAAAAGCAAAGCCCTCTTGTCTCCTTGGGAGAAGGGAGGAGAACAGCCTCAGTGATTCGTCGAAAGCGGCCAATCAGAGTTGCCGCCCATCGCGAGGGTTGCAAATGGGCAAATCAGAGCTAATGTACTTGTACGCCCCAAAGCCGTTGAAAAATATAACGTATACGCGTGACTTGGTTTGATGCTGGCATCATGTCGTGTGTGGGAGAGAACTGTACTTTCCCACACCATTTCGGATTGTGGGTGGAGAGGTGTCTGTGTATGAATGGGAATACTCGAGTGAGCCCGAGATATCTTTGGATGCAAAAGAGGGAGCAAAAAAATGGTATTCGACGTTGACGAGTGCCCAACTGCTAGCATCCTGAACTTTGGCGAGGAGATGTGTGCATGATTGAAAAAAAACACGAATGTGTTCCACAAATGGGCCTCTATGAAGCTTCGTGACAACACACCTGACCGCATGATGGACGCGGGAAATATAACCATGTCGGTGTCCAAATGGGCCACTGGGCCATCTGATTCTGCTAATTCAACGACGGGTATAAACCGATATAGTCTTCGTCTTAGGTTGAGAGAGTTCAGCCGTTGTATCACAAAAAGCTTGACAGTATCGGAAGACCAGGGGGCGACGATCCGAAGGCCTGGTACTACACACCAAGCTGCGGGGGAGCAATGCCAAGACAATTAACTACTTGGAGGCATGAAACGAGATACCGTCGAGAGAATAACTCGGTGTAGAAGGTGGTTTTGGGATGTATGACGTGCTCTGTCCTCAAAGGCTGATCCCGCTGACTCTCACCCGTTGGAAGGCATGGTGGCTTGCGAGCTGGACTGCATTTGTGAACTGTCATTTGGGCAATAATGCCATGTATCCGATCATAGAAGCCGAGAGAAGAAGAACGCCCACGTCTCAGTGGCTTGAACAAAGATAAAAAAAGAAATCGAGACTGGGCCATGGAGCATACTTTTGCAACTTCCAACATGATCGGGTTCCAAGGCTCAAATGCCTGGCAAGGTTAAATTCCTTGACCCACAATATGCAGTATGAGCAGGCAGCTACTCAGTAGTGGGATTTGTTGTACAAACAATAGTGGGTTTGTCATTGTTGTGTGTGTATTTTTGGGGGAAAGGGAGCTGGATAACAAGATTCTGGGAGACGGTTAGAGTGCATACTCGTATATGGCCGAGATAATTTGATGTAGGCCAGCTGGTTGCTTATACGCATCATGAGCAATGACAAATTGACGGAGTAGATGCGATGCGTGTATGTACATAAGAGACAGGCCTGTCTAGAATGATCATCTTGAGATGTGCAGCTGTGTTTGGTTGCCTTTCCGAGATTGCTGGGGGAGAGGCGGTCGCTCTCTGAGCCGTTTAGCAAAGACGAGGCCTTTGAAAACCGGGCTGACCGGCTGCAGCTATGCCCGACGCATGTCAAGACAGGCACTAGGACATCTCACCAGCCGGGTTTCTCTGCTTCGGTCGCCGTCCCTCACAGGCCATGGCGTGACTGTCGGTATCGAGGTTCAGCGAAACGCTGCTTTCCCAGGCCGAGGTCCAGACACACAACGTCGGATACCTTGATGCTGTGGCAGAAGCTCACTGAACTCGACACTGATGGTAGCACTCCGCATTGCCATGAATAGAATTATTTCGCCAATTGCCTGCTCCACTGCTCCTGAGCGGTAGCTGGACCCGATGATGACACAGGGCCATAGCATGATATGCAACTCAGCCCATGCTATGTGTTTGTGCCTGGCGAGCTGGACGGTCCCGAAAGTTTTCGTTGAACAGCGGTGACGACAACAGGTGGCATTTGATGCTCAGCGTACGGAGGCAGGGAGGGGAGAGGCGGCCCTGGCTGCTGCAAGGTTAGTTGACCGGCTGACCGGGGTTGTTTGCAGGGGATGGAATTGGATGCTTTTTCATGCAGCTGGGACAGCGAGTGAAACATGTCGCAACCCGGTCGATGGAATGGCAATCGACAGGTGAGACAGAAAACTGGCTGAGGGGGCTGCAGTCCACCGGGCAATTGGCCATGAAGCTGTCCAGATGGCCTTTTCCCCACCCTCACTTTATGCGGCGGTCGAGCTTCTCTCGGAGCAAGGATTGATGAGCGGAAAGCAGCCTCTGCGCTGTACGGATTGCGTACAAGTAGGAGTATTCGTAGGTGTCTAATTGGCCATTAGCACGAACCAAGCAAGTCTGGACCCGACAGCGCATGAAATACGGCGGTGGGGACGAACGCGGGAGCTTGTGGAAGAGCTTCTGGAGATAGGTAGTGAGAGAGCGAGAGATGGCGAGGATGAGGCATCGAGGCGTTGAACATGGAGTTTAGCCTGAGACTTCATCCAAAGTTAAAGTACCGGCAATCTTTTTGCGCAGGAGGTTGCTATACCTTAGTCTCAAGTACTCGTACATCCAGAGGTAGCAGATACGGCACAGAGCGCCAAGTCCCTTGACGAGACCGGCAGGAAGCCCTCGTGGTTGCGGATACCTCAGGTCGCTTCCTAGGACGGATGCTACCAGGAAGGAACCCCCGTACCGCAGCCCTTGCGCGCTAATTTTGGCAAGAGAAACATGCACCCTCCCTTCCCCATACTTGCCGGTAGTATTCCGTCCTTGGTGCGGTTATAAAGGTGGCAGGCGTATCCATCCTCGGGCCTTGCCTGGTAAGAGGAGATCGGTATGGAGTACGTGACAGGTACTCGGAGCGCAATGCGGGCACCGGCGTAATTAATGCTCATCCAAGTGTAGCCGTCTGGTCAAGGACAAACAAGGTGACATGCCGTCTTCGTACTCGTATGGCTGACGCTGTCACTTTCAACCATGTTCGCGGGCTGGAGTGATGGATGAATAGTATGTACAGGTGTTGAGTGTGTAGATGTGGAGGCAGGGAGCATTTCAAACACGGTTTGCGGCAAGTAGGCTGTTTATTTGAAATAAACCATCAATGGAGAGGCACGATGGGAGTTGCATTCAGATCTATGACGGGGCCGACGAAAGGCTCAAGTCCCCAAGAGGACGAGTACTAAGGTATAGAGGTAAGCTGCGTGTGCGCTCCTCGAGGTAGACGGCAAGTTCTGGGAACCTGGAGGCTGTTAGTTTCTATACCTTGCGCGTTGGAAGTGAAAAATTTTCTCTCAACCATGGCCTTGCATATGGGCCAGGATTCATCTCGACGCCCATATATGTACTACTCCGTCCGACTTGTATCAGAAGGGCGTCGCTCGCGTTACACAGCTCCAGGCCATGGACGTTTTCGGCATCGCCTATCCTCGAGCCTTTGGTGGAAACATGGAATCCCGCATCCCTGTGAGCTTTTTGTCAGTGTTGTGGGAGAAACCGGGAGTGCCGAATGGCCAGGTCGAATGACACCGGCCGGAGTGCATAGCTATGAGTTGGCAAGGCCTCCGAGACCCGGCCGTCCGCCGACCGCTATTGCATCTGATGCCAAATCTTCCATCTTGCTCTCCCTTTCTCGCTAGTTTTGTGCCAGCTGCCGGGCCTGCTCTCCTCCCCCTTTTGGGCAACGATGGGTACATGTACGAGTATGCTGCTGTACTGCTGCTCCAGGTAGTATTGCCGAGCGATGACGATCTTCATCGAGGCTACTCCCTAAGTGCGCTTGTCTTGTCTACAGCGTTGGAGCTTTTCATGCCGCTAGAAGAAGCTCCTGGAAAAGCCAGTAAGGTTTTAGCGCCGGGTTGGCTCTTATTGGACAAGTGCCATATGCTCCCTTCTTACACGAGAGAAGGATGCTATTCATAGCGGCCTTGAGCCCAATCAACTGCCTTGACTCCCTGCCTATGAAGGGAAATGATTGAGGACATCCTCGTCCAGCTACCTACTGACGGACCGAATGTCAGATTGCCGCGGGAGGTCGGCGATGCAACCAGTGTGACGCCCTGGTGTATCATCTTCTCTTCTCTCTCACCATCGAGCTGCCAGTGACGTACGAGTGCTCGTGGCTCCTCCCATGCTCGAGTGGCCAGGCCAGCTCATTCGACTGAGGTGGCCTTGAAAGCGCAGCATGGACCAGTCACTGGTTTTACGCGTTGGGCTCTCCTGCGTGAATTTGGACCGTCGACGCTGAGCAATAAGACGGCGGCTGCTGTTCGCGCTTTGGACTGGACTGCCACACCGCGAATTGCATACGGTCTTGCATTGGTATGCATTACGGGGCACCACCACAGCAATGCAGGTAGCAGGCGGTGAGGTGAACAAGTTGTTACATCTCGAGCGCGGTCTGGAGCTCGCGCATTTCCGACTGACGTCTTGTTCTCGTCACGAATGCTTCTAGATGCTCGAGCTGGAGCCAGCTCACCCTTCACCCTTGGCCAACAGGCGCGGGCCCCCGCCCGGGGAGGAATTGAATGGGTACGCGCATACCGTCACCGAGCAGCAAGCAGTGCTAACATGGCTGCTAGCATGATTCGTTGGTCGGCAAAAGCGACAGCTCACTTCTTTGTTGCTTTCCAGGCGGACGGAGACAAAGGAGAAGCAGAGGCCCGGATATGGACAAAGCTCCACAGCAGCCCTACCACTGCCTTACACTTGGGTGCCTGTTGGCACAAACATCTCCAACGAGTCCGTCCTTGAGCAACAAGCATGCCCCGATTGACTTTTAAACACTAAACAAGCATCATGGCTCCTTCGGGCTAGCCACAACGAGGCCATTAGCCTGTTCCCTCTTCTCTCAATCGTGCGACCCGGAAGCTGGGGACCTGCAGTAGGTAGGAGGAGCCGGCTGCTGTAGGGCCCAGTAGCCTGTTCGAGGCTTGGCCGGAGCCCATTCGAGCTCGTACGTGGACCGCTCACAGTCAAGAATGGAGGAATCGCACCCGTATGGAGCGGTGCTACTGGCCGTCCAAGTACGAGTATTACGGCGTCTGCAAGCTATGGCCTCCTGTGGGTGGGAGCAGAGACGGCACGTCCCAGCACACACCTCCGGCTGGGCGGGACACATATCTATACGAGCGGTGCTACTGGATCTTGAATGTCAGGCCGCAGAGCGTCTCCTGCACCCTTGGCCACCCCTTGTTGGATACCCCACACGTGCAGATGCAGACTCTTGGGTGTCCAAGCATGTACCCGTTCGAGCAATGGTACATACTCGCACAGCTGGAATTCGAGAGGTACGGAAAGGCGGAGAGAGAGGGAAGTGGTAGGGAGATTTGTGCGTGCTTCTTTGGCGGAGTGCCCTCGGCCACAAAGGCGGATGGATTGCTCTTCTCTGCACCCCCTCTTACTGCAGATGCTGAGACCAGGCATCTCTGCGTGGTGTTGACATACAGGTATTCTCTTGCTGTACTCGTACAAGTACACTGCCAAGTACGAAGTACCATCCATCGAACCAACAGCTCGATGCACAAGCATGGGTCCATTTCTTTCTGCCAATGCCGAGCACTGCATCGACAACGGCCTTGAGAACAGGGTCTGTCCAATCGGCTGGGACTGAAATACCCGCCTCACTTTTCCCTTGCGAGAGATGGCCATTCCAGCAAAGAGCAGCATCGTGTTCCCCTCCAACTTCCCGACCACGTTGGGCTCGGGGCTCTCGGCTGGAGAGGAGACTGGGCAATAAAGGGTCCATTAAGGCAGCGAGGCGTACAAGATGCACACGCACGCGGCACACTCGCATTCAATGGCATGGGTTTTGCAGGCCGGTACATGAACTGTCCCGAGTCTCGACGACTCTATGCATCTGCACATACTATCGACGAGCAGCAGCTAGGCCTGTCGCGCATGGTGGGCGGCGCAATTCACATGTAAGTCCATGTAAGTGTGTGCTGCATTGAAAATTGACCGCATGGAACTCGTACTTGTACTTGGACAGCTATGGGGAGCTTAGGTACACACATGCGAGGTAGACATGCGGCGGGCGCAGGCCGACACGTACAAAGGATTCATGTCCTGGCCAATGGCCGCCGGATGCTCGGTGCTGGGCAAATCGAGAGCACAAGCAGTAATATCTTACCGCTCACATCGATGAGTAACAATTGACTGATGAGGCACGCACTAGCAGCGCTCTGCGATGTGATTAGCGGTTGCGGGAGGCACAGCAGCTTACTGGTGCCTCGTAAACGTAAGAAGCTGGAAATCGGCGTCACACACGCACAGCTCTGACCGCAGCTCCGAATTCGAGGGAAGTGAGGCGCTCTCGGGAGGCGCCCAAACAGAGCACTCTGCCGTCACCACCACCGTTACAGACCACCACGACAGCTGCCGCCGCCACACCCTCTTTGATCCTCTTAATCCAACTACACGTACGAGTATACAGTAGTATACGAATGCAGACATGCAGCGCCTCGGGCGTTGCTCGTTCGGATACGGAGCCTTGTTTGTGATGGGGACGTATCGTATGTCCCATCCTCGTACGTGCAACCGGCGGCATCATCGTCTAGATGCTTGGCACTACAAGCACAAGCACGGGCATGGAAACCTGCGATCCGTTGCCAGCCGCCGCCGCCGCCGCCGTTACGTTTCACGCTCCCTTGCTGAGGCTCGTATGACAAGCATGCGGATCGCGGGGCTTGTTCCGATTAGATCCCGATTCAAAGCGCCTGGGGCGTGCTGCATTCGCTTGAAACACGGCCCATCTGAGCGTCGCCTTGCCTAACTATGACCTGTTACAGGAGGCTACGGTACAGATCACAGCTTGCCGGAGCGCAAGATGAACAGTGCAGACAGATGCCACGAATGCGCAGCATGCGGCCGTTGGGAGTAGCACTCGTGCCCGTTTTTGATATTGCCGATTTCCCCAGTTATTATTATCCATTTCTTGGGTGTGTTGTTGGCAAGGCCTGGGAGGCGCACAATATACGAGTAGTAGCAGCGCCTGATTAAAGGCAGAATCATCACTCGTCGGCTAGATGTGTGTGTCCAGGATACAAGTGCCTCGCCTCTGCTCTGCAGCAGCTTGCCCAATTGGCGCGGCATCCATGTCTAATCAAGGGCATCGCTTAATTGTCACGGCTGCAGTGATAATCGCCGCAACGGCGGCTGCAGGAATGAGCAATTAAACCGGCTCGGCTGGCGGCAGAAGCTCGAGGCACATACGCACATGTACGAGTACACGTACAGGAAGATAGGCAAAGCGGCCGCGCGGACTTTTTCCCTGTTTCCTGTCTTTTCCCAATGGCTCTCCTCGTCACCGCTTCAAACCCAAATGTTGCCCAACGTCGGCCAGCGGGCTTGTCTGATGGGCATCTAGAGCAGATTGCTCCTACGTGGACGAAGCGAGAGGGTAGCACCACATGGGTAGCAGATGCTGCAACTTTGCGCTGGCATCACTCGAAGCCTATCCCGTTGACTGACGGCAAGCGAGCTGCAGCTCCGAGTGGTGCTCGTCCTTTGTTGGCCGCCCACAACGGGATCTCGAACGAGACAAGGACAAAACATCCACCTCGCCCTACGTCTTTTTAGCTTGGGTACCTAGAGCACTGTATAGTACCTTGTCTGTATGAGCACGAGCACGAGCACGAGCACGAGCATGAGCAGCATACCCCAAATAACTTTAATGTTCTGGCGTACGAGCAGCAGCAGCAGTAGTTGGGGAGTGAGGTGCATATGCCACAGACTGACGAGCTTGAGCAAAAGGCAGCTCCAGCCCCATGCCCACAGCTCTAGATGCAGGCAGCTCCGAGCTTCCCCTCACCTCACACCATCAAGCAACAAACCCCGGCTCCGATTCCTTGGGTTTTCGGGGCGGAGAAACGAGCCAAAGGAACAAAGCAAACAAGGCGGTTGGCGGGCCATGGCAGCTCTCTTCCAGGGGGGGCCAGCACGGTTGGCGTTGGTCGGGCAGGGCTGCCTCTGGTTGCCTCTGGCTGATGGAAATCGAACGAACTAGACTCGTCAGTTAATCAATTCGTCAATCAAGCTGCCAGCAGAGCGTCACCCTCCTCCTCGCACTGCCGCGGGACTTGGGGGGGAGTTTGCGTCTGTCTTGTGTGTCTTGCTTCAAGGTTGTCTTATGTGGCAGCTGGAGGGACGGACGCGTTGCTGAGTCTGACGAGAGCACGTCAAACTGTCCATTTGCTTAGCTTGGACGGGGGAGCCAAGGCTACATGCGCAGGGCTCCAGCTATTAATATCAATTAGCACCGTCGAGGGGCCGTAACTTTCGATAAGCAGCTGGTAGCTTGGTGTTGCGATGCCTTAGTGCCGTGCCTGTGGGCGATAGGTCGAGATAGCGCGCCAGCTCGCTGCAAACGACTACGGTATGTACATGGACCTATTCCCAAGCACTAATAAGTGCGGAGGCCCTGCGGAGGAGAGGGGGGTCGATCAACACTGTACAGAGTACATAGCTCGAGAACCCGTAGAGTACCTACTAGTACAGCAGGTACGAGTACGGCGCTGTAGCGTGGAGCGTTAATTCATCAATTCGATCAATGGATCAATGGATATCAATGTCCACTATCCAATTGCCCCTCAATCCCTGTGCTTGTTGTGGCCATGCCCTGCTCGACTTCAATTTGTGTTGCGGGTGGCTGTTTTCGCCACTAGGTTTGCTGGGCCTTCTGACCACACCCTCAAGTCAGCTGGTGTGCGGTGCGGCGGCTAGCCCACCCAGACCTCCCTGTGCCGGAGACGCACAGCGCTAGGCCCAACTGCATGCGGGCCTCTGCAGCAGCGCTACTTATATACTACAGCGGTCATGGCACACCATGGCACACCCCTCCCCCCCCCCCTGGTCGCTGGCAGCTGGGCAGAAGCAGACAGCGTGCAGCACAGCGCAGCGCAGTGCCGTAGCGTACCGGCCACCACCGAGGAGACGGAGACGTGCTGCTCCACCGCACCCCCCCAGAAAGCGACGAAATGGACCAGTGGAACATGAATCAATGGATTGCATCCACTTGTGCATCGGCCAGTAAGGGCCCAAAACCGTCGTTTTGACGTCTCTCTGCGTGTGTGTGCGAGCATTTGATGTACCTCCTCCTTCTACCTCGAGCGTTTGCCATCACAGGTTTTTGCCCTCTTCATCGCTCGCTCGCTTTTGGCAGCTGAGCTTCTCTCGACATCCCCTCTTTTTTTTCACTCTCAACTCCTTTGCTGCTCACTTCCCCCTCATCGCCAGCTGCCAATTGCCAGCTGCCCGGCAATGCTTCATCTCAGGTGACTGGCCCCAGCATTCATTGTAAGCCTGCTCCCTCGTATCCTTCTTCTTCAATCCTTTGCCCCCCCGTGACAGCCGCAACACTTGACCTTGCCATTCCCACTTTCTTACTCGGCATCACCTCTTCCTTGCACTATCCAAACTCCATCACCGCGACCCAAAGATCCCAAGCAAAGCTTCCGCACACCCTCTCGCAACTTCGCGCCGCCTCAGCATCATCACGCATCCATCGAACTCGCCTCTGTCTCCTGCTCTCGAGTTCCTAGTTGTTCTCCCCCTTCCTCCCATTTTCTGCACGCCCCCAAAAGCCTTCCCCATCGTCGTTCACGCCACGAATATCTGCTAACGTTTTGTTCTCTCTCTCTCTCTTGCAGCTCGCCAAAATGTTGGCTGACGACGCGCCGCCCGACGACGTTCGTGGCGCCTTTGCCGCCCCCGGCGGTGCCAAGGACCTCACCTTGGCCGATATCCTCCTTCGCGATACCCAATATGTCTACTCTCTGGTTCTTCTTGTTGCCTTCATTTCCCTTGCGGCTTGGTACTCTGTCTTCAACTCCAAGAAAGAAGAGGACCTTGTCCAGCCCAAGGTCAAGGGCCCGGGAGGCAAGCCCCTTCCCATTACCAAGCGCAAGCGACGCAACGACGGCGAACGTAAGATCGGTCCCCGTTTTGGCCGCATCGCTAAGAACGTCTTTCGCTATCTCGCTGCTGTTGTCTTCCTGAGCTATGTCGCCACCGGGGTCTCCATGTTTGTCCATGCCTTCTACCATGAGAACCCTTATAAATGGTCAAAGGACGGACTCCCATGGGCTGGCGAGTGGTCTGTGGTATGACAAACCCCCCCATGCTCTCTCTTCTATCCATCGGTCCCAGGCACTTGGGTCGAGCTTCGACTAGCATCTGCCTGTTGGAAATTTGTCCAATGGCCTCGCGCTCAACCCGTCCCTTCCCTGTAATCCACTAACCAGCTTCTCTCATAGGTTCACGTCCTGGGTTCAACCTTCTTCTACCTTTATATACTCTTCTCTCTGTTTGATTGGCGCAAGGGTCCCAATGTTGTTCATCTGGCCATCTGGGTTCTAGGCCTTATTGGTGAACTTATCCTCTTCATTACCACCGCGATTGTTGCCGCAGATTGCCACTTTCTGCGTACTGTCCAGCAGCAAGACCCCGCCAAGGACGAGAACTGCGTTGATTCGTGGACCAAGATTGACCTTGTTCTCTACTTCGTCCGTCTGCTGCACATCATCGGCTCAATCTCCCTCTTTTGCGTTGCCTGGATTCTCAAGAGCCGTCGCGTCGAGGATAGGGCTGAGGAAGGACGTGCCATCACTGAAACCACGCCTTTGCTGCTTAACGGGCAGCCTCGCTCCTCCATTGACTCTCGGCAAAACGTAGGCTCTGAGGCTAATGGCCGACGATCTCGTGGTAGAACCATCTCCAACGCTGCCAAGCCCTCTGCATCGTCCTACGCACGCAAGGATGACCAGGCCGCCTTCTACCGTCAGAAGAAGATTCCCCACAAGACATGGTTAGAGTACGTTAGAGGCTACTCTCTGTTTTTCCCATACCTTTGGCCCAAAGACACCGTCAAGCTCCAGCTTCAGGTACTGCTGTGCTTTGCTCTAGTCATTGTTCAACGGTTGGTCAACGTCTATGTTCCCTGGCAGATCGGCAAAGTCGTCAACCAATTGGAAGCCATCCTCCGAAGTGGCGAGCCTATTACCCGCGACAACTTCCCTCTCAGAGACTTTGTCATTCTGGGCATTCTCTGGGTGCTACAGGGACAGTCCGGCCTTCTTGGGTCCCTGCGATCCTTGCTTTGGATCCCCGTTTCGCAATACTCGTATCGAGGACTGACAGCCGCGGCCTTTAACCATGTCCACTCTCTCAGCCTCGACTTCCACTTGTCCAAGCGCACTGGCGAGGTTCTCTCTGCGCTCAACAAGGGCTCTGCCATCAATGCGTTCCTCGAACAGGTGACGTTCCAGGTGATCCCCATGCTTTTCGACCTGTTCCTCTCAATCTCCGTCTTCTACTTCAACTTTGGCCCCCTGTACGCCCAGCTCAACTTGGTGGACACCTGCTGGTACCTTTACATGACGATCAAGATGGCCGCGACGAGAGCAGACCAGCGACGAGAGATGACAAACGCCGATCGCGAAGAAGAAGCGGTGAAGAACGACTCTATCTCTAGTTATGAGACGGTCAAATACTTCAACGCAGAGGAATACGAGTCCAACCGGTATCGAGCCAAGGTCCAAGTCTTCCAAAAGGCCGAGGCCCAGGTTCAAACTGGCATGGTCCTCATGAATATCTGCCAGACTCTCGTCTTCAACTTTGGTAGAATCGTGGCTGCCCTGCTCTGCGGTTGGCAAGTCCTGGTTGGCATGCGATCTACGGGCGACTGGTTCGTTGTCGTGTCCTACATGACCCAGCTTCAGGGTCCTCTCAACTTCTTCGGCTCCTTTTATCGAACAGTCCAGCAAGCCATGATCTCTGGCGAGCGTCTTCTGGAGCTCTTCAAAATCCAACCTACCGTCGTCGACTCGCCCAATGCTGTACCCCTCGAAAACTTTAGTGGACATGTTCGATGGAAGAATGTGA